TAAAATAAAATAAAATAAAATAAAATAAAATAAAATAAAATAAAATACGTTTGCTTCAGGGGAACTCAGAGCAGACATTCCAGAATGAACTGTCATCATCCATGAACATAAGAAGTACAACTCTCACCAGGTAACAAAGCCCCAGTGAAAGACGTGTCCTTGTCAAAACAAGAGCCTCAGCAGACCCGGCACAGCTGTTAGAGGCATCCCGTCAGGAGAAAGCCCACAGTGCCTAACCAGGAACAGGAGGGAGCATCCTCCCCGTGATAAAGGGCCCCCGTGAGAAACCCTCAGCTGACATCAGACATAATGGTGAAATAGTGGATGCTTTTCCCCTTAGGGTTCAGCATTGGACTAGAAGCCCTAGGTCGTACAATGAGATGGGTGAAAAAAAATAAAAGCTTGGAGAGGAAAAAGGAGAACTATCTTTTTTTTTTTTTTAATTTTTTTTTTCAACGTTTATTTATTTTTGGGACAGAGAGAGACAGAGCATGAACGGGGGAGGGGCAGAGAGAGAGGGAGACACAGAATCGGAAACAGGCTCCAGGCTCTGAGCCATCAGCCCAGAGCCCGACGCGGGGCTCGAACTCACGGACTGCGAGATCGTGACCTGGCTGAAGTCGGACGCTTAACCGACTGCGCCACCCAGGCGCCCCAGGAAAAAGGAGAACTATCTTTAATCAGGATGTGTAGAAGATCATAAGCCATCTACCAAAACAAACAAACAAACAAGCAAACCCTACTAGAAGTAATAAATGAGTTTAGCAAGGTTGTAGGACAGGTGGTCAGAATATGAAAATCAAATATATTTTTATATTCTGGTAACAAATGATTGGAAAATGAACGTACAGTTTTAAAAACAGCATTTTATTGGATGCTATCATCCAAAAAAAAAAAAAAACCCTGTAAAATACTAAGAGGTAAACTTAACAAGAGATGAGTCTGCCCCTCGCTCTGCCAAACCAAACTTTGCTGAGAGAAATTTCAGAAGACCTACATGAATAGAGTGATAAAACATTGCTGGAAGATAGCTCTCCATTGGGTCTCTCACATTTCTGCACATCTTACAGAGGAATGGCAGCTTTCATTGTGAATTACCATCCCAAGGACATTTGTGGACCAAACCACTTACAAACCAGACACTGTGGGGCATCTGGGTGGCTCAGTTGGGTAAGCATCCAACTTCAGCTCAGGGCATTATCTCATGGTTTGTGGGTTCAAGCCCCATATTGGGCTCTCTGCTGTCAATGCAGAGCCCACTTCAGATCCTCTGTCTCCCTCTCTCTCTGACCCTCCCTCTCGCTCTCTCTCTCTCCCTCTCTCAAAAATAAACATTAAAAAAAAAAACAACACAGATAGCTATCTCCCTCCGAAGTAGAAAGCAGGCTTGTTTGGTGTCCAATATAATACAGATGCTGTGTTCCTCAGAAACAGGGTCAGGGGCGCCTGGGTGGCGCAGTCAGTTAAGCGTCCGACTTCAGCCAGGTCACGATCTCGCGGTCCGTGAGTTCGAGCCCCGCGTCGGGCTCTGGGCTGATGGCTCAGAGCCTGGAGCCTGTTTCCGATTCTGTGTCTCCCTCTCTCTCTGCCCCTCCCCCGTTCATGCTCTGTCTCTCTCTGTCCCAAAAATAAATAAACGTTGAAAAAAAAAACAATTAAAAAAAAAAAAAGAAACAAGGGTCAGAGAGCTTTGCTGGCAGCCCATTATAAAACATCAGGGTTCCCTAAACTCAGGGTTCTCTAGCCATGACACAGACCCAGACCCACTGCATGTGCGGCATCCACCTGGGTCACTCTGCGTCACCCCCGTGGGACTCGTGCAGGATGATTCAAATGTGAAGCTCATCCTGCCTGCCGTGCTCTGAGTCCCTGCCCCCAGGAGGCTCATGTCTTCAGTCAGCATTGGTGACACAGTGGCAGATAAACTTACCAGCTTGCAAGCAGGGAAAAAAAACCTCAGTCCTTGACAATCAACTTCAAACTTCAAATATTCTGATATCAGTTCTCCTCAAATTGATCTATATATTCAATGCCACACAATTAAAATCCCAGCATTCTTATTTCTTTTGTGGAAACTGACATTCCAATTCTATTTTGGTTTTCTTCTTTCAAACCCTTGTGCTGAGGGCTGACTTCCAGTTCTAAAATTCATATAAAAATACAAAGAACCTAGAATAGCCAAATAATCTTGCAAAAGATCAACAATGCTGGAAGACTTACCCTACCTATCTTAAAACTTAAAGTAATCAATACAGTGTAATATGGGAATAAGGAAAAACAAAAAGATCAGTAAAACAGAAGAGACTGCAAAAATAGACCCACAGATATTTCAATAAACAAACAAGTGGGAAAGCAAAGTCTTTTCCGCACAAGGTGCTGGAACAACTGGAGGAAAAAAATCAAATATGTAAAAAAAATGAAACTCCATTCCTTGCCTCATACCATACACAAAAATATAACACAAAGTGGGTTATCTACCTCAACATAGAAATGAGAAACTTAAGGGGCACCTGGCTGGCTCAGTCAGAAGAGCTTGTAACTCTTGACCTCCGGTTGTGATTCTGAGCTCCACACTGGATGTAGAGATTACTTAAAAGTAAAATATCTAAAAGATTAAAAAAAAAAAAAAAAAAAAAGAGAGAGAGAGCGAGACTTAAAGCTTCTAGAAGAAAACATAGGAGACTATCTTCATGACTTAAAAGAGGACCAAAAATTTTTAGGTTACAAAAACAAGAACCATAAAACAAAAAAAAATTACATATTAAATTTCATCAAAATTTAAAATTTATCAGGCACTAGGGCGCCTGGCTGGCTCACCCAGAAGAGCATGCAATTCTTAATCTCAGAGTCATGAGTTCAAGCCCCACATTAGATGTAGAGATTACTAAAAGAAATAAATAATAAACTTAATTAAAAATATTATTCATACTGGGGCGCATGGGTGGCTCAGTCGGTTAGGCATCCGACTTGGGCTCAGGTCATGGGTTCATGGATTCGAGCTCCACGACGGGCTCTGTGGTGACAGCTCAGAGCCTAGAGCCTGCTTCTGATTCCGTGTCTCCCTCTCTCTCTGCCCCTCCCCTGCTCACACTCTCTCTGTCTCTCTGTCTCTCTAAAATAAATAAATGTAAAAAAAAAATTTTTTTTAAATATTCATAGTATGAGAAAGTATTCACAAAACATGCATCCTGAAAAGAACTTGTACTCAGAATATATATATCCTCACAACTAAATAATTTAAGACAAGTAACTCTCAATCAAAAGCTGAACAAAAGACCTGAAAAGACTTCATAAAAGAAGATATAAATGGTCAAGAAGCAGACAAAAAGATGCTTAACCTTATTAGTCATCAGGGAAATGCAAATTAAAATCATGAGATACCACTTCACACCCATTAGAATGGTTAAAATTAAAAAGACTAAAATATCAATTGTTGGCAAACACGTAGCAGAACCCAACTCTCTAACATTTCTAGTGGGAGGATAAAATAGCACAACCCCTTTGGAAAACAGTTTGGCAGTCTCTTATGAAGTTAAACATACACTTAGCCTATGACCCAGAAATTCCACTCCTTGGAATTTACCCGAGAGAGAGAGAGAGAGAGAGAGAGAGAGAGAAATGAAAACATTTGTCCACAAATGACCCGTACGAGAACGTTCACAGCACAATCTATTATCTGTCAGTAGTTGCACAGATCAACAAACTGTGGCATATTCATACAATAAAATCTTACTCAGCGATAAAAAGGAGTGTGCTACTAATATACAGTTTAAAAAAAAGAGAGATGCTTAACGACAACAACAACAAATCAGTCACAAAATAGTATACATTTGACTTCATGTATATGAAGTTCTAGAACAGACAAAACTAATCTATGGTGGTAGAAATCAGAACACTGGGGGGTGCCTGGGTGGCTCAGTGGGTTAAGCGTCCAACTTCATCTCAGGTCATAGACTTGTGGCCCATGAGTTCAAGCCCTGCATCAGGCTCTGTGTTGACAGTTCAGAGCCTGGAGCCTGCTTTGGATTCTGTGTCTCCCTCTCTCTCTGCCCCTCCCCCACTTGCACTCTGACTCTCTCAAAAATAAACATTAAAAAAAATTTTTTTTAATAAATAAATAGAATATTCTCTGGGGAAATGCACCTTCAACACAGACATCAACAAATTCCCACAGACTGACTTTAAAAATTATACGGTTTTTATATCAAAAATTATAAAACCATGTGAAGAAACAAGGTATCATGACCAAGAGTGAGGAGAAACAATAAACAATTGAAGTGGGACTTCAAAGACATCAGATATGGGGACAATTAGACACAATACAGAATACAAACATGTAATACACTTACAAAATAGAAACAGATGTCCAAAACATGAGATTACAAAGACTTCTTGGACATTAAAAGCAATAACTGAAAACAAATTTAAAAAGGTAAACTGGACTTTACTGTGACTTTCTTTTCATCAGAAGACATCATTAACAAAGTAATGAAGCAAGAATAGGTTAGGAAAAGAATTTATAACACATATATCCAACACACAACATGTATCCAAGGTGCACAGAGAACTTGCACAAAGCAATTTAAAAAAAGTCAAACCACCCAACCTACAAATGGGCAAAAGACTTCAACAGGCATTTTTACCAACAAAGGCATTCAAATGGCCAACAGAGGGGCACCTGGGTGGCTCAGTCAGTTAAGCATCCGACTTCAGCTCAGGTCACGATCTCGCAGTCCGTGAGTTCGAGCCCCGCGTCGGGCTCTGGGCTGATGGCTCAGAGCCTGGAGCCTGCTTCGGGTTCTGTGTCTCCCTCTCTCTCTGCCCCTCCCCCGTTCATGCTCTTTCTCTCTCTGTCTCAAAAATAAATAAACTTTAAAAAAAAAAAAAAAAGGCCAACAGAGACATAAAAAGGTGTATGAGTTTTCACTTCTCATCCAAGAAATTCAAATTAAAACCTCATTAATAGGGTGGCTCAGTCGGTTAAGCCTTGATTAAACCTTCCCACTCTTTCAGTGGGAGGTCGGTTAAGCCTTCCCACTCTTGATTTCAGCTCAGGTCATAATCTCACCCATCGTGGAACTGAACCCTGGCTCGGGCTCTGTGCTGGCAGCATGAACCTGCTTGGGATTCTCTCTCTGCCCCGCCCCTGCTGCGGCACACGTGTTTTCTCTCTCTCTCAAAAGAAATAAACTTAAAAAAATAAAATAAAAAATAAATAAAATCTCATTAATATACCATGCCACCCCCACTAGAATGAAGACAGACAATGCTGGTAGGAAGGAGGAAAAACTGAAATTCTCATACACTGCCAACAGGATAATAAATTGCTTCTACTATGGGAAACTTAGCAGCATATATTGAAGCCACACAGATGCTACTCTAGGACCCAGAAATTCCACTGTTAGAAAAATAAATACAAATGTCCATCAATGGGCACAGACGCAATACTCATAAAAGGTTTATTTATAATCCCCAAATTATGGAAACAGCTCAAAAGTCATGTGCCGGTGACTGGGAAGGGGCATCAGGGACTCTTACGGGGTGATGGAAACATTCTACCCTTTGATCTGGAGGGTGATTACATGGGCACGTAGACATGTACAAATGTATCAAGCTGGAATATACTCAAGATTAATGTGTTTTACACTCTTCGTGTATTTTCAATCTTGATAAAAATGATCAAAAATGTTGAGGCAGATTTGAGAAAAGAAACAAAAAGAACTTCTAGAAATAAAAAATTCAATCACTGAAATAAAAAACTCAATGAAAGAGTTCAATAGGAGATTAAACACAGTTGAAGAGAAAAATGAATGGTCTGGATTTTAGCTTTCAGGAGACAGATCTGAGGAAATTAAACAGAATGAGAGACAGAGAAGTGCATAATATGAGGGAGAGGTTAAGAGACACAACAGAATGAGAAAACCTAATATTTCTAATTTGAATTCTAGAAGTAAATAATAGAGAGAATGGGAGAGAAGCAATTGAATCAAAGCTGATTTTATTGAATCAAAGCCGATTTTATTGAAAATAAAATAGCTGAGATTTTCCCCAAGTTGGAAGTCAAAATGAACCCCAAGCAGGACAAATAAAAGAAAACCAAGAGCCACACAAATCAGAGTCAAACTATAGAAGAATACTTTAAATTATTTGTCCTTTTTTCTAATTGATATGTGAAAGTATGTTAAATATTGTGGAAAATAATCCTTAGAACTTATGCATGTGGCAGTATATGGGTTTTTTTTTAATGTTTATTTATTTTTGAGACAGAGAGAGACAGAGCATGAACAGGGAAGGGTCAGAGAGAGAGGGAGAGAGACACAGAATCTGAAGCAGGCTCCAGGCTCTGAGCTGTCAGCACAGAACCCAACGTGGGGCTTGAACTCACACACCATGAGATCATGACCCTGGCTGAAGTCGGACACTTAACCGACTGAGCCTGTGGTTTGTTTTATCAAATGCTTCATGGGGTCTTTTAATGAACCAGGGATGGGGTTTTTTTGTTTTTTTTTTTTTAATGTTTATTTATTTTTTAGAGAGAGAGTGCACAAGCAGGGGAGAGGCAGAGAGAATCCCAAGCAGGCTCCCCACTGTCAGCATGGAGCTTAATGTGGGGCTTGAACTCACAAACTGTGAGATCATGACCTGAGCTGAAATCAAGAGTCAGACGCTTAACCGACTGAGCCACCCAGGCACCCTAAAAATAAAATCTTTTTTTTAATGTTTATTTATTTTTGAGAGAGACAGACAGAGAAGGACAGAGCATGAGCAGCGGAGGGGCAGAGAGAAAGGGAGACACAGAATCCAAAGCAGGGTCCAGGCTCTGAGCTGTCAGCACAGAACCTGACGCAGGGCTCAAACTCATAAACTACGAGATCGTGACCTGAGCCCCAGTCGAACACTTAATCGACTGAGCACCCAGGCGCCCTGTAAAAATAAAATCTTAAAAAAAAAAAAAATGCTGAGTGAAAATTGCTTCAAATTTGGAAATCTATTCACAAACTCTGAAGTAAGTGTGAGGGTAGAATCAAGACATTTTGGACACAGCAGAATTCAGAACACTGACCTCCCAAATGCCCTTTCTTAGACAACGACAGCAAAATCTTGTGGACATTGTTCCACAGCTTTGATTCTTCTCTTCTCCTCCAAGATGCGTTCAGTATTCAGCCTTACCTCAGACAGCCTGCCGCATTCAAGGGAAACCTGAATCCATTCCCATTATCCACAGGCGGGCTTGATTAGTATAAACATAACTCCTCTTCCCTTATTATGGCATTGGTTCAGAGACTCAGGCAAGTCAGTCAATCAACCACAGCATTCCCAACAACCAAATAAACTGGTTCAGGAATGGATGTGTGAGATGCTCTGGCCAATGACATACAAGGAGATATATGCCAGGTGCTTTCTGGAAAAGAAGTTTCCAAAAACATAACCAGAAGAGATGCCCCCTCTTCCTCCAGACTAGTGGTGTGCCAATGGAAGTCTCAAGCTGCCTCAGACATTTCACCACCATAAGAGAAGGTGCCCTAAGGAAGACACCAAACCCAAGGGAAACCCAGCCAAGCTATTCATAGGGCCTGAGACACTAGATCAATCTCAGCCTGAAGCCAGCCCAGTCTCTGGGCTCCCAGGGCACTGAGCCAAAAAATATTCTTAGAGGTTAAGCCTCCTCAGCAGTTTCTCTGTTATCTGCAGCTAAAAGCTGCCAGGAAATAGTGGATTCAATGCAGGGAGTACACATGGGAAGGCACAGAATGAGCTCCACAAGGGTCCCAGAGGGCAATGGACTCAGAGTAAAGAGAGGTGAGAACCTCCCAATAGAAACTCTGCAGGATGCCTGATATAATGGAGCCTCTGGGGAGGCGGGAAGTGAAGCTATACAAAGTAAGCCAATACAAGGTGGGGGGAGGGGAGGGGGGGGGGGCAAAAAAAAAAAAAAAAGAAAAAAATGCAGGAAAAGTAAAAGACTATAGGACAAAAAGGGGGTGTAATCACAGTATAATTCCCCGCTCTGCAGTGGATTTTTAAATAGTCAAGGAAACATAAACCTGGTTTACTGACTTAACCACAGTTTACGATCAAAGTACACTAAGAAAACAGGAGAGAAGAGAAAAAGGCGGTGGCAGAACCTGTTCCTCAGCTGTCACAGCAAAAGTGTCAGTCAGTCTAAAAGTGCTACATCAAGAAACAGCACGGTATGCTTGTTACAGATACGGAGGTGTCTTCTAGAAGAAATTGCCAAAAAATACCAAGTGGCTGCCTCTGGGGAATGGGACCAGGAGTAGAAAGATGAGTGGTTTTTTACTCTTGCAAAAAGAGCTTGTCAGCACTGTCTGACTTAACACAGTGCATGTATTACACTTCCACAGGATAAAACATTGACATGTTTAGTATAAATTAATGAAAGATACTTGCTTACGGGCAAAGCCTCAAGGGATAGTAGTAGAATCAAGAGAGCAGATGTATTAGGTTGGTTAGATAATGGTTACTTTTTTCTTTTCGTAACTTTGTTTAGGTTAAATTACAACATTTATAGCTTACGCTGTATGTAAACTTGGGAGAAAAACTAAATTGCAGGGAAAAGACCAGCCCCACACCCCAGGCAGGCAGAAAGCACAGCACTAGCTCCATGCGCCCCACGCAGGCAGCCAGGAGACATCAGTGCCTTGCACAGGACGGAGGCCCCAAAGCTGGGTGAGGGGCCTCCTTTCCCCGTGGCCACCAAAGGCCCTGGTTCCACACCTCCCTCCCCAGGGCCCAGGACATCTTCCCAGGGGCGTGGACCTCCCAAACAGGCCAGGCCTAGGAGGAAAGGCACTACAATTCAGCCTCCTCCACACTCCAGCCTGGGCCAGAGCTGGGCGGTCCATCAGCTTGGGACTTGGGTGCAAGGACATGGTGCAAGAGGGCCGGGGAAAAGGAAACCTACCACAGGAGTCGCAGGTGAAGCAATCTGTGTGATACAGGCTCCCCATTGCCTGGCATGCCTGCCTTGCCCCGTAGATGCCAAGCCCACACTTGATGCAAATACCTATGGGAGAGACACAGGAGAGAGCCCAGGTTAGCACCATGACTGTCCTAATGCTGCCTAACCCTCAGCGAATAAACTTCCTGAGCCTTCATTTACCAATGGCTGACCTGGCGACAATAATGGTATCTGGGGGTTTGTTGATGTTGTTTCAGGATTCAGAGGTAAGCAGAGCACCGGGCACAGAGTCAGGGCTAACTGATGCCGTCCTTCCCATCAAAATATTAATGACACGTGGGGGCACCTGGGTGGCTCAGTCAGTTGAGGGTCCAACTCCTGATTCTGGCTCAGGCCATGATCTCACAGTTCACGGGTTCAAGCCCCGCATCAGTCTCTAGGCTCACAGTGCGGAGCCTGCTTGAGATTCTGTCTCCCTCTCTCTCTGCCCCTCCCCCCGCTTGCTCTCTATCTCTCTGAAAATAAATAAAAAGAAACTTAAAAAAATATTAATGACATGTTTATATTAGAAAGTCATTCTGGGTCCCTTCACCAGTGACCTGCTCTTGGACTGAGGGAAAATCCTTTCTGCGGTCTGTGAACCAGAAAGAATAAAGACCACACAGGCATACCCAACCCAGCCAAGCTTTCCTCATCTGTGTCCTAAGGTGAATTGATTCTCTTGTTTGATCGGCACAGCGGCCTTGCTGGCCTGCCACATGCCCCACAGTGTAGCTGCTGGAGACTCGGCAACACGCCGAGGAAGGCACGCTCAAGGAGCCTCTGTTCCAGCGGAGGGAGACAGACGACAACAGGTAAATGAATAATATCTCTGGTGGAAACAAGTGTGTGAGGTTTTTGTTTTGTTTTGTTTTTTTTAATTTTTTTTTCAACGTTTATTTATTTTTGGGACAGAGAGAGACAGAGCATGAACGGGGGAGGGGCAGAGAGAGAGGGAGACACAGAATCGGAAGCAGGCTCCAGGCTCTGAGCCATCAGCCCAGAGCCTGACGCGGGGCTCGAACTCACGGACCGCGAGATCGTGACCTGGCTGAAGTCGGACGCTTAACCGACTGCGCCACCCAGGTGCCCCAAGTGTGTGAGTTTTAAATTAGGGTGGTGAAGAAGGCCCCAGTGACCAGGTGATATCTGAGCAAAGGTCTAGAGGAAAGAAAGGAGGAAGTTGCCATGCAGGCATCTGGGATTACTGGCAGAATTGGGGATCACCCCTAGCAGCACAGGGTGGGGTGCCCGGCAGGCAGGGGAGGGGTAGTAAGGAAAAGGGTGACCAGCAACGCCAGGGGGAAGCCCGGCACTAGTCCCGGGGATTCCCTGGCCAGCCCTCCTGAAGACCCAGAACATGGGCGGCCAGCCCAGACATCAGAAGCCCCCCTCACAGTTACCCGGGATCTCCTGTACCCCACAGGGCATGAAGACAGGTTCCACTGGCCCTTGAGACCCTAAATCTTCTGGATGCTCCGGGACATGCTCCCTCACCCTCTCCCTCTCGCTTTCTACCATCTCTCTCTCTCTCTCTCTCTCTCTCTCTCTCTCCTTAACATTTAACCACGGTTGAGCCTCTTCCCCATCAGCACCACGTCAAGAAAGAAAGTCAAGTCAAGAAAGAAAGCTCAGTCCACATTCAGCTATCTCCTAACTGTGCACACCTCCAGACCTCCCATCCCGAACCTGCTAGCCGTGGGACCAGCTCCTCCTCTTTCATGTCCAGGCTATGACCCACACCTAGATTTCTGGCTCTTCTCCCTTCCCAGCTCTGTTGGGTACTCCCTGCTCAGTCCTGGGCCTCCCGTGCCTGGGTTTTTTTCCCCAGGGGAGGGCGGGCCAGCTCAGACGCCCTCAAAACCAGGTAGGAAAGTAAAGGTGGCTGGTGGGGACCCAGAATGGAGAATGGAGAACAGCAATTATTCCATACTGAAATTAATTACTAACTCAAATGTTTTGAAGATACAGAAGGCCAACATGCCTGCAAGTCTCCACACGTGGCTGTCCCATGGCTCCCTGGGCAGTCCGGCCTGCTGCAATGGCTCAGCCTGCAGAGGGCTCCTGGCGATCTGCCCCAGTCCACACCTCTCTCCTGAGTCACTGAGCCAGCTCCCAGATGGCCTCAGACCACCGCAGGTCTAGAACAGAGCTCTGGATTTCCTGCAAAACTGCTCTTGCCTCAGCGTCCCTGCTCAGGAAACGGCACCTGTGCGTAGCTCAGTTTCAGGGAGCATCCAGGTCCACCCTCCTTGTCTCCTCCAACTGTGAATCTCAGCAACTCTGTTCCCTAATTTTGACTTCATTCCCTCCCCTCACTCCCACTGGCCTGGTTCAAAGTCATCAAGTCTCATCCTAAAGTCCGTTTCAAGAGTGTCCTCAAGGTATCCCCGCCTGGCCCCCAATAATTCATCCCACAATCTGCAGCTAGACTTCCCTCTGGCAAGTAAAAATGACCTACCCCCTCACCCTTACTCTTGTCCATCAAGTCTGAAAACCTGACCTCACCTTCTTAAGTTACCACAATCCACAGTGAAGAGTAAAAGTCAGTTTTCCACGGGAAGCAGGGCAGGAGGTGGGGCAAGAGGAGAGGCTATGACCTTGTATGATGATTAGCTTTTGGTTCCATTTGCTTCTTTTTCTAAATACGTGCTTTCGTCTCTTTAATAAAAAGACACTGACGAAGGAGATGGAGTACCCACGAAATTCAGGGAGCACAGCGTTTCAAAGAGAGGGGACTCCACCTGTGGGGTGGAACAGTGAGACCAGGCCACCGAGGCCTGGCAAGCACCTGCACCGGGCCGCCACCAGGGTCTAGCAAGAGCTGGCTCAGTCCCGTGAGGGGAGACAGATGGCTCAGGGGAGATGGGAGGCGGGCAAGCAAAGGCGATGCCAACCGGACACTGGGATGGGAAGAGGTGGGCATGCCACTGAGACTTTGTGACCAAGCAGGTGTGGCTTTGCTTTTTCCTTGCCATTTTTTTTTTTTTTATGAAAGACCCTTTCATTAAAGACATATTTATAACCAAAGAAAAAGGTCCAGTGGAAAGAGGAAAGCTGAAGATTGGAGGAGGTGGGGGTTGGAGGTGGGATGACCCTGATCCTCAGATCTAGACGTGGATCTGATAATAACTGGCAGCCTGCAACAGCTGACCTCAGTTTTCTCAGCAAAATAGAAAGCAAGCTCAGGGACCAGAGGGAACAGAAAGATTGTTGAGGGAATAAAAGAGGGAACTGACCAAGGCTTAGGGAGATGGGTGGCACCCAGAAGATCACAGAGGTTCAAGACCATCAACGCCTATTGGTATAGCAGCAAAACAGGGGGGCAGCAGCCCTGGCTCAGAGTCAGAGTTCTGCAGGGCAGAGGTGCTTCAAGGAATCAGAGGTCCTGAGACCAAGAGGCAGTCAGAACCGAAGCGAACCAAAAACAGGGTGTGACCTTGGGAGGAGGTGGCTCAAGAGAAGGCAGGGAGGCCACCAAAGTTCAAGAGGTTCTGGAAGTCTGAAGCTATTGGCTGGCTCCCGGCAGCGGAACTTGGTGAGGAGAGATGGGAAAGTTGTAAAGCCATCGGTGAATGGACAGAGGGACCCGGAGGTCAGCAAGTGCCAGGGCCAAGGAGAAGGGGTGGCCCAGAGAGGAAGACACACTCTGAGGACGTGGTATAGCAGACATCAGTTGAGCTCATGCTACCTGTAGACTTCCTTTTGCAAAACTGTGGATTATTCAAGTTGAACTGTATGAAATTGCCACTTCTATGGCTCCGAAAGGTCAAATATCAGCACTAAGTTATCAGCAGTTCAAGCAAATAGTTGCCCATAGTTTTAAAAATTAGGAAAAGGTTACCCAGATCTGGCTTCTCTTGGGAAAAAAGGTGTACCATTGCTCACCTCCCACTCCCGGGTGGATTCAATGGGCCCTTTCGAAAGGATGACCCACCAGCTTATGCGGTCTCGTGCGGTCAGCCCTTCACTCTCCCCCTGCCTGCTTGGGTCTGGCCACCTCAGCTTCGCACACAGATACGTGAGTAACCTCAGAGGCTCACAGAAACCACCCCGACGTGGGCCCTGTGGTGCACGGGGACAGGAGACAGGCAGTCTCCCCCAGAGAGAGCACTGGAGGCGTTCTCTTCAGAAGCCCACCGCAGCTTCGGCTCCCGGCACCTGCCGGGCTCGAGAGGCCAACAGCTTCCTAACTCACCTCCATGCTCCCAGGCCATCTGACAGCAGCCACAACACCTACCAAACCACAAATGCTCACCCCCATGCTCCCAGATGAGCTCAAAACTCTTCTGCGTGTCCCTCCTAAAGGCAGACCCACCCTGTGGCCCACATAACCCCTGGGCGCAGAGTAGAACAGTCCACATCCTCACATGCCTCCTTTGGCCCACATTCTTCCTTCTGCCTGGAATGCCCCCATCTAGCCTGTCACATACAGCCTCCTCCTCTCTCAAGATCCAGTTCAGGGCGGTCCTGAGCTGCTAGCTGGAATGAATGCATGAAAAGATACAAACCCCAGGACAGCCCTGTCCTGCCCAGCAAGATAACCACCCCCACCCTCACCCCCTCAGAGCCAGGTGCGTCTGCCTTCCTGCTTATCAGTAATGGAGGAAGGGAAGCCCCCTCCCCAGGCCCCCTCTCAGAACCTCCAGCCTCAGTAAGAGGCCTCCGAATTATCCAAAGGACTAGGGATCAGGAGGCCAAAGGCAGACTGGGAAATGGAGGCCGTAAGAGACTGGTGGGCTTTGAAATGCTGTGAAGCAGGATTCCCTTTGGAAACAGCCCGCATACACCACACAGCCCAGGGTGTGGTGTGGTGGGCCTCAGGGTGGGCGTCCCCTCCCTCACACACTCTGCCCCCTTGCCACTGCCATTACCAAAGCTGCAGGTCAGGCGGGTCCGGTGGTACCCGGCCCACCGCACCTCTCTGCTCCTGTCCACTCCCCACACTCCTGGGGGGAACGGGGGCACCAGTCCCTACAGTGCTGGGGTTGCCCGGCTGATCACGGAGCACAGTGCAGGAGGAGCAGAGGCACGTGCCAAGGGTTAAGAAGAAATGACCCGAAAATGGCTTATTGTGCCTATTGGCATGACTTTTTCTTAAAGGTAAGGCAGTGAGTGCATCAACTCACTTTGCCGGAACCCCTTCTTAGGCCAGAGACCTACAGTCGAAGTCGCGGCTGTAAATAAACCTCGGACCCTGCGGTTTGCACTCACACACCCTCTGCCCAGCCCCACGGAGACTCGCTTTTCTCACCCCGGCCCACCCCGCGCTCTCCCCCGGCCGAGCCACGGCCAAGCTCGCTCACCGAAGTAGTCCCGCGCCGTGCGCGCCTCCAGCGCCCGCTCCAGCTCGCGGGTTAGCGCCTCCAGCCGTCGCTCCGCCGCGCTCGGGCCGCCCTCCCGGCCCGCGGGCAGCTGCAGCGAAGGCAGGGGGAAGGGGGCCGGCCCCGCAGGCTCCGGGGAGCGAGCCGGCGCCGGGCCGGCGCCGGGCAGGAGCAGGTCGGCGTAGGCGCCGGCCGAGCCGCGGGAGCCGAGACTGGACACGCTGGAGCGGGCGCTGCCCACCGACGGCGGCCCGGGGCAGGGGCGCGGGTCCGAGC